GAATCTAAAGGTCTGAAGACCTTCTTCCTGAATGAGCTGAATGTTTTCATGTTAAAAAGACTAAAATAGTAAAAACTGCTAAAGTAGATGCAAAACCCATACAGGAAAATAAAAAAACAAACAAACAGGAAGACTATCATGTGAAAGCTGAGTCAGCATTCAAACTGTAATTTAATTACTTGTTTATTGAACTGCTGCAGCAGCTTCCTGCTAAATGCTGAGCAACACCAGATTAGGACTGAGATTAAAACAGTGCTTGTGATGACTTTCACCTCCAGGAAAAGTTCCAGTATTGATTTCTCAGAGGTATTGGCTCCAGAAGCTATTCAAGCCATCTGACTGAGTCATCTTTCTATTAAAGCATTTGGCTCAACAAAGCAATCTCCTCTTCCTGTGAGCTTCTGTTGGCGTGTGCAGTTTGACCACTAACTACCTCCGTTTCCCCACACGCCATGTGTTCACACAGCCTAAGCTCAGTGCACTTCTCTGTTTTTAGTATTGATGGTTATAAAAATGTGAGCCGTGTTTAAAAAATGCAGGAGTTGCTGTGGWTTATTTAGGGGRAAGAGTGAAGCATTTTTCACCTTTCTTTGTTTTTCTCTTTTCTCCCCAGGACCCTGCTGGCACTTGGCTGCCATGTTGCTCAGATTAATATTCATGCCGAAGATGATCTGAAGAAAATCAAATTGCCTAAAGAGTACTGCATCTTTCTATCAGTTCTGCATGGAAAACACTCACCCATAGCATGCCACTTCCTTTAAAATCAATGACCTCATTTCTACGTCTAATTCAAGGTGGTGTCTCTGCAGAATGTAGGGGGAGGTTCTTGGCTATGTGGGCGGAGTTTAGCAAAACTGTGATTGTTCCATTTGACTTGTGGGGAACATTTAATAGTAATGTTAAAATCTAGAGAACRTGTAAATCTTTTTTTACTTACAGTTTTGTGTGACTAGCACCGTCCTGTCTGGAGTTATGACTGAAATGAATATTCATGTTAAAATTATCTGTACTTTCTGGCCGTTTCAAGTGAGCTGAATTGTTACACATCCCTCCAGCTGACAACAGTCAGTTCATCCAACTGGACCTTATGGATTCTTCAAACCACATCTTTAACAAACTCCCTCGACTAAACAGACCCATCTTGTGTTTTCCAAACTCCGCCCACACACCAAGAACCTCCCATTTAGTGACTGCAGAGACACTCTTCTTGTTTAATTTGTGACAATATCCCAAATAACTTTGTGTTTTTCATCCTGTCCTGTTGGATTGTCTGCAGCTACTTGATGTCTAACGGATATAAGCCTGCGCCACTAGAACTCTCTGATGTGAAACTGACTGCGGGTCAAGAGGTTCTAGTTGATAAACTGGCTGAAAACGCTCACAACGTTTGGGCCAAAGACAGAATAAAACAAGGCTGGACCTATGGCATCCAGCAGGTAACAYCTTACTTTTATGTTGTGTTGAACAGTGTGTGAAAGCTGGATGCGTAGTTCCTAAATCAGATTGTTTTGTTGTGTTTGTGCCAGGATTTGAAGAGCAGACGTAATCCTCGCCTGGTGCCATATGCTTTATTGGACGAACGCACTAAGAAATCTAACAGAGACAGTCTGAGAGAAGCCATTAGGACCATCGTTGGATATGGATATGAAATCGATCCTCCGGACCAGGAGGGTATGTTTTGTTTCTTTATTTAAATATATAATGTCAATATTCAGACCTATATAGAAGCTGGTGTCTAAGAATGCTTTTTATCTGCAAATATGGCATCCAGGCAGTGATTTCTGAGTGTTTATTATTATCAGTGGCAGCATTAATTTTAGATTAGCTGCTCTGTTAGTTCTGACATCAAGGCCTGCTGGTTGTAATATCTGCAGAGAACTGAAGTATGCATGATGTTTGGTCTCTCCCTTCTTTTTGTTTTTGGCTCAAGTTGTGCATGCATTAGATGGTGAGAGCATCGAGACCATCCGCTTCTTCCGCGTGGAGCAAACGTACGCCGTGAAGACGGGGAAGTGGTATTTTGAGTTCGAGGTCATAACAGGAGGTGATATGAGGGTGGGCTGGGCCAGACCGGGATGCAGACCCGACGTGGAGCTGGGCGCAGATGACCAAGCCTATGTCTTTGATGGATTCAGGGTAAACTGCGTGTCGTGTCTTTCAAAGCTCTTATAAGCAACAAACTGGAGGCRCGGCCTTTCACCGTAACGTTTTCTTTTTTCTCAAGGGTCGGCGAATGCACGCCGGCAGCCGCTACTTCGGACAACCTTGGAAAAAGGGCGACGTCGTTGGTTGCATGATCAATATGGAGGATAAATCCATGATTTTCACCCTGAATGGAGAGCTCCTGATCACCAGCAAGGGTTCTGAGCTCTGCTTCGCCGACTTTGAGATAGAGGAYGGTGAGGCCTCAGACTCCTGTCAGACTAAATGAAACTGTGAATGCTCATTTAGATTTTAGCTTCTATTTACTATTTTAGCATTTAGACCAGGGGTTCTTAACCTTTTTGAAGTCGGGGCCCAATTTGTTGAACATAAAGTGGCACGAGGAAATATACGAGAAATTGTAGATTTTAACCACATTTTCTTTCTTTTAGAATATGTTTTGCTCATTTTAATTAGTTTCACTATTTTTATAGTTTTAGCAACTGCTCTGTTGATTTTAGCTGCAGTTTTACTAGTCTTAGCCTTTAGCAACTGTTTTAAATTGTAGCTTTTGGCTACAGTTTTGATGTTTTCTCTGATGTTCAGGATAATCACACAGTACTAAGTACAAGTTAAATTTTGAGTTCTGCAACATATTACAAGATATTTATGGCTGCCACGGCTGTCAGAGTTTGATGATTAGTTTAATTTGAAGGTAATTGAATTATTTTTTTTTCTTTGATTTGTACAGAGGTGTCTTCWGTGAAATACTAATACCATCCCCTCCTCCAGGTTTTATCCCTGTCTGCAGCCTGGGCATGTCCCAGATCGGCCACATGAACCTGGGCAAAGACGCGAGCACCTTTAAGTACTACACCATGTGTGGCCTCCAGGAGGGCTTTGAGCCTTTTGCCGTCAACATGAACCGAGAGATAACCATGTGGTTCAGCAAGCGCTTGCCCACGTTTTTCAACGTGCCTCAGGACCACGAACATATTGAGGTAGAGAAGTAGATTTGTTCTGTCCTGCCTGTTGATTTGTAATGAAGCGCAGCTGGTGTGTTAATGGAAACTGCAGCATTTTCAGTTCTTTTGAGAGTCTCTCTCTCTGCAGGTGACACGGATCGATGGAACAGTGGACAGCCCCCCCTGCCTTAAAGTCACTCATAAGACGTTTGGAACCCAGAACAGCAACAGTGACATGGTTTACTGCAGGCTGAGCATGCCTGTGGAGTTTTACTCTGCAGACAGGTTACTGGACGAGTCACTGAAACTCAGGTGAGCAACAACATTTGAACCGAAATGATCAACAACAGGAAGTTATTTCTAATTGTTTGTTTCTTTCCTGCAGCCATCCTCCTAAAGAAGATGGAAGCATCGACTATGGAAGCATCCACACTGTAAATAAACCTTACAATCCAGTCCTTATTCACAGCTCTTCTTTACCCAGCTAATGTATGTCTGTGTGTGTTTTTCTTCCTGCAGTACTACCACTCAGTGAGAGTGTTTGCTGGGCAGGACCCTGCCTCGGTGTGGGTGGGCTGGGTCACACCTGACTATCATTATTACAACAAGAACTTCGGTCTGAGCAAGACGCAAACTGTCACCGTCACCCTGGGAGACGAGAGGGGCCGGGTCCACGAGAGGCGAGTCGCTGGCTTTTCTTTTACATCCAGGGTTTTATGTGAGATCAGGGAGTCCAGTAACAGGGATCCTGCAGATCCTTAAAAAGTCTTAAAAGGCCTTGAATTCATCAATCCAAAAATAAGGCCTTAATTAGCCTTAAAATGTCTTAAGTCAATCTTCAGAAGTCTTAAGAATATTAACACATTGTAAGTAGGATGACTGTAATTCGTATCAAATATTAAAATAATTGGTAACATTTATTTATCTTTGAAATATTCAGATGTTCCCTTTTGACACCACTTCCTGTTATTTCACGTGCAAATATCTCAACAAATGTCCATCTGAGCAATGTGAAATTTGTTTTCTAAAATGTTAATAATGTTGTCTTTCAAAAATACATCCGTATTTCTTACAAAAATTTGATGTCACATACACTTCACTGTGGGTCATTAAGCTACAAATTTTGGGTCATTAGAGGATTTCCAGAAATTAAATTACATTTAAAACTGACTGCTAAGAATGTTTTTTTTTTTTTTGCTATATTTTACAAAATAGCAGTTAGATATGGATAAAAACAATTGGTCTATTAGCAATATTTGAATAATTCAACCAAAAAATACTTTGAATCACGAGTTTCTGCCAGTTTAAAAAAATTGTCACAATAAACATTTGTCTTTATTGTGAAATTGGTCTTAAATTTGATTTCACTTGGCATTAAAAAGTTTTAAATTTAACTTAAACTGTAGGAAACCTGAGTAATGAATACAGTGTTTTTACTGACTCACTTATTTTTGTTTTAAAACATCCTCTCTGTTTACRTTTAATTGTTCAGGTTTCTCACATCCAGAATGAGCTCGGAGGTTTTTGCAAATTTTAGTTTTTAGAGGGATGAAATTATGTAAAACTAGTTATCCCTGCAGCAATAAGGGAAATACTTTAAAGAAACAAAAAGCTGTTCAGTCAAACCTTTTCACAGGCAATATGTCTGCACACTCTCCATAAGCCTTTTTATACAAATCCAAGTTTAAATGCGCAAATACAACTTTACAGATTAGATTAGACAACACGGTTGTTTTCTTTTTGGGATTTTATTTTGAAATGAACAAACCAAAGAACGAACAAAATGATGACAAATAACGCATTGTTTAATTAATGTTCAGTTACAGACAAAAAGAGAAAAACAGGCTTAAATAACTGCTCCATATTGTAGAGTCTCAGCCATGTTTATCTCTTTCTTTATGTGCTAAAAGAAAAAAGGTCAAAGCAGCATCATTAGGCTGAGCAGCTGCTGCTGTTGCAGAACAACAACCAGCTCGATTAGTTTACTTGTATTTCTGAACTGTCTCTGGTTGCCTTGCTGCAGCGTTCAGAGGAGTAACTGCTACATGGTGTGTGCGGCCGACGCCGTCAGCCCCTCCTCCTCCAGCCACTCCAACTCCGACCTGGAAATCGGCTGTCTGATCGACCTGGGCACGGGCTTCGTCTCCTTCACCGCCAACGGCACCGAGCTGCCTACAGCATATCAGGCAAATACCAAGACTAGAGCTCTCTGTCGTCTATATGTTCTTTTAAACCAGAGCAAATATTTAGATTTTGGATCTTTTATTTTTATTTTTCAGGTGGAGCCGAACACCAAGCTCTTCCCTGCTGTTTTTGTCCGCCCCACCAGTTCAAACCTCTTCCAGTTTGAATTTGTCAAGATAAAGGTTTGCTTCTCKTATCATCTCTTTATTTTATTACATGTTTTGTTTTCCAGATGAAGAGTGCAAACATACAGAATTATATTGAGCAACTATGTTGGGCTTTGCTCAAGGACCAGATGTATTTCYGGTGCAGCTGTGTCAAAATAAGAGCGCGACGATGGTGATCAGTAGTCCACCTCTCATGGTAACTTCCTGGTCTTTTCCCAGGATGCCATGCCGCTGTCGTCGGCCATCTTCAGAAGTGAACAGAGGAACCCGGTGCCGCAGTGCCCGCCGAGACTAGACGTGCAGACCATCGTGGCCGTGCTCTGGAGTCGGATGCCCAACACCTTCCTGAACGTGGAGACGGCTCGGGTCAGCGAACGGCACGGCTGGGTGGTCCAGTGTCTAGAGCCCCTGCAGATGATGGCTGTACACATACCTGAAGAGAACAGGTAATGATTAAAATTTAAATGGGGTTTTGTCTACAAAGATGAACCCCTTTTGATGTTTTATTCATGAGCTAATCAAGTTGGCCGAGTCCTGCAACACTAGCTGTGTTTCCATTGCAAATGTGCACCAAACTTTGTCGATATTCTGTTAATGTCGAAAAAACACAGTTTCACAACTGCAGTGTTTCCATTAAGTAAGAAATGCTATTAAAGTCACGCGTGAATACGTTTGTTCTCACGATATATCATCCACGACACTTCCGCTCATCATCAGAGGAGACGTCGGCGTCTTTTATCGAGGCTTTCCAGAGACAAGTCCCTACTTGGGAGCGGCTACGTATGCTGTGTTTTTGGGAAATTGTAGTCGGTGAGTTTACTATTTTATACTACTTCTGTGATATTACTACTACTTCTRCTTCCTGTTATCTTCTTCKTCGTCGTCTTTTTCACCAGTAGAAACAGCTGGTTGTTGATCACGTGACTCCTGTGATGTGAAAAAAGTGTTTCCATTGTAGCTTTGTGAAAAACACCAATTTCAATACGGCCGAAAAACCACCTCATCCTAGCGCAAAAACATTTTGTCGAAAAACGTAAATTTTTTTTTTGAAATTGACGTGTTTCCGTTGAGCAAATTTATTTTTGAAATTCTAATTTTCGCATTTTCATGGTGAATGGAAACACAGCTACTGTGTTATCCTGGAACACTGAAGCTCAAAAAGGAAACAGCAGTGATTCGACTCCCCACCCTCATCCTGCCTTGCTCATCTCCTCCATGACACACAATCAGGAGAGAAATGTTCAGGCCTGGCTTTAAATGCTTGCCTCAGATGCTTTCAGGCGTGTTAGTGCAGGAAATTCAATCCCGGGTGAACTCCCCTCGCCCTTTTCTAGAGTCTATGGCTTGCTCGATTACAGCACCGTCTACCTTTAAAACCCCACATCCATTATAGTTTTCCTTTTACTGCATGAGTGCCAGYTGATGTTTTCTCCACCTTCCCATGACCTGAAAACTGCCATCCATCTGCAAACCAAGCCTTACAATCTTAGTAAATCCAGCCAAAAGCTCGTTTCAGACTGATACACAAGCAAGAAGTCTTTCCAGTTATGGTTGTCTTGATGCACTTAGCAGATTATTCCACTTAATTTGACAAGATTCAGACTGCAGTTTAATATTCTTAAACTTATTTTTAGATGGCTAATTTTTGGAGTGAGACCCTTTTATTAAAGAGAGAATAAAAAGTAGTTTTGCAGTGAGAGATAAGAGTAACAAAATCTGGTAGAGTACATCTAGGCATTTGGAAAATCACTCATTGTCTTGAGTTTTGTATTGTTTCCCTTTGAAACAGTAAATCAAACAGGAGCAATAGGATGGTATTAATATAATATAATTAATATACTCTATTTATGCTGTGTAATGTGAGTAATTTAACTCCAACTTTTTTTTGATGAGCTACTGCAGTAACTTCCAATATTTTCTTGTAGATGATTGAAGTGTTGTGTCACGGGGGTAATGTTATACACGTGAGATAAGATTTTTATGCTTTTTAAAGTGCATTATAAATATCTACAATATAATACAATACAATAATCTACAAAGAGCCCCCCAAAGGCTCCAAATTATTGGCTATTTTTACGGTGATTTTTCTCCTTTTTCAGCTCAYGTCTCGTTCTTTTCCCCATCGTTCCTTCAGGTGTTTGGACATCCTAGAGTTATCAGAGCACGAGGACCTGAAGAAGTTCCACTACCACACTCTGAAGTTGTACTGCGCCCTCTGTGCTCTGGGAAACAACCGTGTTGCCCACGCTCTGTGCAGTCATTTGGACCAGTCTCAGCTGCTCTACACCATTGACAACCAGTACCTGTCAGGCATGCTCAGACAGGGCTTCTATGATGTCCTCATCAGGTGGGTTCTCGTCTTTTGTTCTTTACCGACTAGCTGACGAGTCATTTTAATTGTAGAAAAACATGAATGGAATTGGGAAAGATGATGGATGTTGCCAATAAATGATGATAAATGATGAATAGAGTGAAAGTGAAAAACACAACAAGAATTAAACAGGAGATTAAATGGTGGGTGTTGTGTGTTGTCCAGGAACMCAGTTCAGTTCTTTACCACAATCATGTAACTACGTTACCTTCAGGTGTTATGAAAATGCTGTAAACAGCATCGCAGTYGTATCTAAAGGCCTTCAAACTGTCTCTTTAGAAACCTCCTACCATTTCTGACACTCCCACTTCAGCACATCTTCACAGAAATGCTTCATGCTGTTTACAACCCTTTATAGGAGTGTTGTATTTTGTTTTAAATATAAAAAAGAAGCATCATTTTATAATTTGTTTWGGAAAATACCAACTCAGGTTRCAGTTGAACCTTACCCAAATGATCCCACGCCGGAACCAGAAAGTACGTTTTCTGAAGAACCAGAGCGAGTACGGAGGCTCACTCTGGTTCTTCTGAAGCAGGTATGACGTGTTTCAGCTTTGTAATATATCTATAAAACATCGTCTCAAACATATATGTTAGTGTTTAGCTACTATATTATAAATAGATAGATCATTAAGAAGCTGTATTTTGCAATGAAATTATGAACATCCACTGTTTTTAAGATGCATTTTGCAACGAAATCATAGTGATTTGTAAAGAAATATTTCTCCTGCCACTTGTCTGGTGGAGCTGTGGGGGAGGGGTGCTCTGTGGGGCGGGAGGACGGCTACAGGGAGGAGCTTTGTATAAATAGGCGGTGCTTCGTACCAGCAAGGRTTTAGGCAGCTCCACCACAAGAGATTCAAGGATTCCTCACACATGCATGAAAGCAACACTGTTTTTGATGAGGAAATGAGATTATAAAATGGTTTAAAGCTCAAAAAGGTTGATTTTGCATAATACCCCCTCCCCCTCTTTAAATAAATATAAACGGTTTTATTTGTGAAGTTTAAGCCACAGTAGTGAAATAACCAAGAAGTCTTAATTGCTGAATCATACATATAAACGAGCATCCTGACTTCCCTCAGACATATTCTACTAATCTAAAGAAGAAGTTGTAGAAATCTTACAGCACATTTATTTGATTTAGTGAAAGGACTGATTGTTCTTCTGTCCAGCATCCATCTGGAAACAGCAAAGGAGGCACGCCTGATGATGAACAACGAGTTCATCATCCCTGTGACGGATGAGACTCGCTCCATCAAACTCTTCCCCGATGAGTCCAAGCGCCACTCGCTGCCCGGCGTGGGCCTGAGCACCTCGCTGACGCCCCGGGTCAACTTCTCCCCCGTCTGCATCATCAACACCAAACGCCAGCARTTCCTCTACAGCCCCCAGATCCCGCTGGGCGTCCTGAAGGAGAAGGCCATCAGCATGCTGACCGAAGCCGTGCAGGGAGGGGGCTCGCACATCCGGGACCCCGTGGGCGGGAGCCTGGAGTACCAGTTCGTCCCCATCCTGAAGCTCATCGCAACGCTGCTCATCATGGGGGTCCTGACCAGCGACGAGGTGAGGCTGATCCTCCTCCTGATCGAGCCCAACGTGTTCGGGGAGACCCGGGAGGGCGAGGAAGCCAAGGGGGACGAGGCGGCCGGGGAGAAGGAGGAGGTGAGCAAGAACGAGGAGAAGGCCGTGGAGGCGGGAGAGGAGGAGACCAAGGAGGGTAAACCACCTGCCAAAAGTCTGCTGGAGAAGTCTCTGCCCGAGTCCGTCAAACGCCAGGTGATGAAAGCAGCAGAATCATTTCAAAATAAAAATGATGAGTGACAATAAATCCATTAAAACTGAGTCTGAATGCTGACTCAGCATTTACAGCTTTTCATTTGACTTTTGGTTTTTGCTGCCCAACTACTTCACCTACTGTGTTCATCTTATCCGTTCATATCACAAAACGTTCAGCTCAGACAGGAGATGGAGGCGATGACTTCTAGGTTTTAGAATTTATCATTTTCCAAAGCKTCATTTACAAATATGTTCCTTTAAAAACATTGTTCTCTTTAAAATCTGCATTAGTGTACCAACTATTTGTCTTGTAATATTTAAAGTTTGTCGCTACAAGTCTAATTTTAGCCAACCTTTTGCTACTTTTAAATTTTAGCCAAACTTTTGCTACTTTTAGCTTTTAGCCAGCCCTTTGCTACTTTTAGCTTTTAGCCAGCCCTTTGCTACTTTTATCTTTTATCCATCCTTTTGCTACTTTTAGCTTTTAGCCAAAGCTTTGCTACCTTTAGCTTTTAGCCAACCTTTTGCTACTTTTAGCTTTTAGCCAACCTTTTGCTACTTTTATCTTTTATCCATCCTTTTGCTACTTTTAGCTTTTAGCCAGCCCTTTGCTGCTTTTAGCTTTTAGCCAAACTTTTGCTACTTTTAGCTTTTAGCCTGCCCTTTGCTACTTTTAGCTTTTAGCCAAACTTTTGCTACTTTTAGCTTTTAGCCAGCCTGTTGCTACTTTTAGCTTTTAGCCTGCCCTTTGCTACTTTTAGCTTTTAGCCAGCCTTTTGCTACTTTTAGCTTTTAGCCTGCCCTTTGCTACTTTTAGCTTTTAGCCAAACTTTTGCTACTTTTAGCTTTTAGCCAGCCTGTTGCTTCTTTTAAATTTTAGCCAGCCTTTTGCTACTTTTAGCCAAACTTTTGCTACTTTTAGTTTGTAGCCAAACTTTTGCTACTTTTAGCTTTTAGCCAGCCCTTTGCTACTTTTAGCTTTTAGCCAGCCTTTTCTACTTTTAGCTTTTAGCCAAACTTTTGCTACTTTTAGCTTTTAGCCATCCGTTAGCACCTTATAACAACTACACATTGTTGTTTTTTTACTTCATGAGGAAACTACTGCTCCTGCCTACATAATATTTTTGTTCTGTTCCAGATGTGCGAGCTGCTGCATTACTTCTGCGACTGTGAGCTGAAGCATCGCATCGAAGCCATCGTCTCCTTCTCCGACAGGTTYGTTTCCAAGCTGCAGTTTAACCAGAAGTTCCGCTACAACGAGCTGATGCTGGCGCTCAACATGTCTGCCGCCGTCACTGCCAAGAAGACYAAAGAGTTCCGCTCTCCGCCTCACGAGCAGGTACGGCCGTTCAGCAGCGCTGCTTTTGTTTTACGTCCTGATTGATGAATGAAAAGGCAGACGGGTCTTTGTTTGGGTTAAATCACAAACGACTTGAGAGAGAGAGCCTCAGACAACTCCTCCTGCAGGAGATCATAGAAATAATTCTGCTGAAAAGATGGATTTAAAARCTCCTCTGTTCTCCATCTTCTTTAGCTCATTCTTCATGTTTGTTTTGTTTTCCTGTGTTCCACTCTTCTATGTTTATCTGACCTTGTGGCTCGGTTCGTTTCCCATAGATCAATATTCTGCTGAACTTTGACGCGGGAGATGACTGTCCCTGTCCTGAGGAGGTCCAGGAGGAGCTCAAGTCCTTCCATGAAGAATTACGACTCCACTGTGGTAGAGTCCAGCTGCATGCTCAGCACATTTTTAGAAGGAAAAATAGTCTGTTTGTTTAACACCAGTTTATTTTGTTACATCATGTTTATTTTTGATTGTTTTGGACAAGTTGCCTTTTCTTAATTATATTTTAACAATAATGCACAGTCTAACCCTTCTTCAAGATTCAAGAGTWTTATTGTCATATGCCCAGCATACAAGCAGTTATACTGTGCAATGAAATTCTTACTTTGTAGTTACTCTATTTACTGACCGTCTGAGATATTATAAATAAAGTACAATAGAATACAAAAGTAGGGTGGACAGAATAATAGATATTTACAGTTTTTACATTATTTTTGGACATTAGCAGCTGATTTTTTAGTGCAAAAAGACACTGTATACAGAATTATAGACCAGTATTTATAGACCAGTGTTTGGACAGTAGCAGCTGATTTTTTTTGTGCTTCTTAGCACGTTTTATTCACATTAAACTGAGAGCAGTGTGTTTGCCCGTGCAGGAATCCCAGTGGAGGAGGAGGAGGAAGAGCAGGACACTTCAATAAAAGGCCGTCTCCTGTCTCTGCTCTACAAGATTAAAGGTCCACCTCAGAAGACCGAAGAGGAGCCCAAAGAGACAGAACAGGCTGCTCCAAGTAAGTGATGGGCTTTTCTGTGAACACTCACTCTTTTTTCACTCTGGACAGAAAAACAARATCCAAACAAAAGTCACAAATTGTGTTTTTTTTCCACTACACRAAACCGTACGGCTCCAGTTTTATCTGCTGCATTTGTCACTGCAGACAGTAAACGCTGGACGTGGACGGAATGAGCGGTTTGTCTTTGTGGCATGTGTGAAACAAGAAGAGCATCGAACCATTCGTCTTGCACAGTGTGTGGGATCCACATATTAGATTTATGTGATTTATGTCGGGAATTATGTGCCGCACTGCAAAAATACCTCATAAAACAAGGACCCCAAGTGGGAAAAAAAATAATAAAATAAATGCAAAGATTTCTTACAAACGTCACAAGACCTAAAGGGAGTTTTATTGGTTGTGATCCGAGGGCAAATCTTCAAAAGTTCAATGATTAAAGTAAAGAAAAATAATGAGGATTAGGTGGAAATAATCTATAATTGCCAAGAACAAGCGTCTRAAGTTATCAGCTTCTGTTTTAGGCTCAGTTTTATTCAAGATGCTCCTTATTTAAACACAGAAGAGGCGAGTAAATGGTTTCACACTACCAACGACTGACTTACAATCTGAAAAAGGTTGTAAATAAAAGCAGAATTTTATCCGTTCTGATTATCGCTGACATAAATGTGATATTATGTGTAAAAACCCTGCAAGTTTGGTGTGAAAATGTTAAATCTATTTGAATCTCTGAGTTGAATAAATATTGTAAAGTGACGTTTGAGTTTATTAAAACATCAAGGCAGGTTTTACATGATCAGATCCTGTTTTTACTGCAGATCTCAAATGCCTGAAGCCGTGCAGATTATTCATAGAAGTACAGTTTGGGTACATTGTGGTGTGTGAAAATGAATTATCTTTTCAAATGAACCACGTTTGTYATTAAACCTACCACACTAACATTATAAAACCTTAAAAGGTTTGTTAATCATAAATGTGCAGCGTTTCCCATCAGCTCAGGCTCTAGTGGTTCGTTTTGTTTTGCTGCTCTGTGCTSAAACTGTCTTTGTTTGATTCCAGTTAATAAAACACTGATGCTGAGTGTCTTTGAGACCATTTGCTATGAATCTTAATGCTTTACTCCCGTCTCCCAGGAAGGAGAGCATTAAGTTGTGTCATAAATGGACAGATAAAGCTGRTGACTTTAAGCATATTTAAATTTACTACTTTGTATTTTATTACTGGGTTTGAAAATCAAACTGTACTTTACAACTCAAAGGCATTTTTCCTTAGACTGACTGTTATATTCTTCATTAATCTGATAAAAACTCTTTGCAAGCATTTTTGAAAAGGAGAGTAAAGTTTACAGTTTTTTAAGACTCAGTAACGTATATGCATGGTTTRAATTATATATCCTGAAAAATCCACTTCTTAGCAGTTAAATACATTTTGTTGTGGACTTGGAGGCAGAAAATTACAATTTGGTGGTCTTCATTCTCCTCTGGTTCTGGGTCAGACTGGTTCCAACACGTCAGTCTGGTTGGACAAGTTTTCTCTTGTTCATATCTTTCAATTAAATTGTAAATAAAAAGTTTCTGCGCAGCTATATAACCATAAACCCCTCTCATATCTTATTAGAATGGACTGGTCTGGAAGCTGGAGGGGGCGGGTTTGAAGCGCCTCATTTGGATTTAAAGAGACAGCCTCAAAATTAATTATTCTGTGACACAGCTCAGAAAAGGGGCGGGGCTTGTGGAGTTACAATAAGGAGGAATTCAAACCAAAGCATTGCWGTTCCACTTTAAGGGCTGTGTGCCATAGAGACTCCAACTGAATGATTTAAATGTGAAAAAGAAGGGTTTAAAAGCATCTTATGTCTCCTTTAAACAGGTTAAAACATTTTTGACAGCAGTGTTTGGATGTGTCTGATGGTTATTTGCAGATTAGCTTGCGSCGTGTGGTTCGGGGAGTTTATGACCTCCTCCTGATCCTCAGCGTGAGATGACGCGGAGCAGATGTGAAGCCRGCAGATCTTCACCTTCATGGCAGCCGGCTCCTCGACTCTCGTTAGGATTCTGTTGGAACACGGGCCTTTGTTTGTGCTTTGCAACTCAAACAGTCAGAGTTCACCGAGGCCTCCGGTTTAACAGTGTTATCGCTCGGAGCGCTGCAGCATTTAGCTACGACTTTAAGTTTCTCTGTAGTGGTGCCTCGTTGTCTGTGAGATGAAACATTAATGAGACCTTTAGTCTGACTTTCAAAGGCAAACTGGATTTTACAGCTTATATCAAATCTGTTTTACTATTTAACAAGACGACCTGTGAGGAGTTATATTCAGTTTTGCTGTAAATGTGGATAAAATCCTTCAGCTGAATCCATTTTAAAAGGACGGGCATTCTTGAGGTGTCCAATAGTTCAAATCTTGGAAAGTGCTGCAAGTCCTGTCAAAGTTCCACTGTGACGTTGTGCTGTCTGTGTTTCGTCTTTAGCCAACCTGAAGGAGCTGATTTCTCAGACTATAACCAGCTGGGCTCAGGAGTCCCACATCCAGGACCCTGAGCTGGTCCGAGTGATGTTCAGCCTGCTCAGGAGGCAGTACGACGGCATCGGTGAACTGCTGCGGGCCATGAAGAAGTCCTACACCATCAGTGCTGCGTCCGTGCAGGATGCTATCAACCTGCTGGCCTCTCTGGGTCAAATCAGGTCTCTGCTCTCAGTACGGATGGGCAAAGAAGAGGAGAAGCTCATGATCGATGGACTCGGGTCAGAATGCAGTGACCGTCCTGTTTTGTTTTTAAGGAATTACAGACATATAAAACAGATGCTGTAGCAGACTGTGTAGCATGACTTCACGTTACCTTCATGTGTTTTTAGGGACATCATGAACAACAAAGTTTTTTACCAGCATCCCAATCTGATGAGAGTTCTGGGCATGCACGAGACCGTCATGGAGGTCATGGTCAATGTTCTGGGAGGAGACAAGTCCCAGGTACTGTGTAGACATTTTGCCTACAGTTTTGCTGATTTCAGCTCTTAAATGAGGTATGCTTATTTTAGTGTTTAGCTACAGTTTTTCTAGCTTTTTGCTACTGTTTGGCTTACTTTAGCATTTAACTATATTTTCTAATTTAAGCTTTGAACTATGGTTAGGTTAAATGTAGCTTTTGGCTACATTTCTGCTATCTTTTAGCTACAGGTTTCTTAACCTTTGGATGCGTGGATCAATACCTACACTCTTTCATACGTTGGGTCAAAAATGACCCCACTTCTGTATCTAACGGTTAATTTAAGGTTTTGGCTACAGTTTTGCTAATTTCGTCTGTTCGTTAAGGTGTGCTTATTTTATTGTTTAGCTAAAATCTTTCTAGCTTTTTTTTTAAATCATAGGTTTTTGCTCATTTTTGTTTTCAGCTACTGTTTGGCTCTCTTTAGCATTTAACTATTTTATGCTTTTAACAAGCTGTTAGCTAAAGGTTTTTTGTACATATTGATCATTTTATTGTTGAGCTGCAATGTTTTTAATTTTTTGTTTTCGCTACTKTTTTGCTAGTTTTATCTTAAAGCTATGATTTTGATAGTTTTATATTTTAGTTAGTATTTTGCTTGTTTTAGCTTTTAGGTACAGTGTTTCAAATGTAAACCTTTATCTATTATTTTGCATATGTTAGTTTTGAACCACTGTTTGGCTGATTTTTATCTTCTGGTCTGCTTTGTTTAACTTTATAATTGAGTTTTAGCTTCTTTAGGAACATTTATCGGTCATCTAACATGACGACATTTGTAATAATTTATTCAGAGATGCACCTAATTTCACACAGTTTTAGAACACAATCAAATATGTGCAAATCCTAAATAAGGACTAGTTAAAGCTTTTTAAAAGTTGCATAGTTTATTTTATTTTGCTAAAAGATGCATGAAGAAACAAACTCTAGTTCTGTTYTGGTTCTAATCTACAGTTTGTTCTGAACAGATGGATGGATAATCATTTGTTTTTTCTTCATATCAAGCTGTTTAGTTTATTGAACAGTCCAAATGAGTTGTTTTGTCATTTTAAAATATGAGAAAACACACACATGTGGAGTTTGCATATTGAACCATCTAGTTCACCTTTTTTATTATTGTTGGTTTAACAATGTTATATTTTACCCAGAATCAAAGCATGAAGCATTTAGTCTTTTTTAGTTTTTCCCTTCACTTAAACCCTAGCACCACTTTATAAAATGTTTAAATTGGTGATCACTGGTTCAGCTTTGGGTCTTGTGGCGTATGAAACATGAGCAAATAATAAAATATTATTTACAGTTGCTGCAAATTTTATTTTGAGACGTTAAGGTCGGCCAGGAGCAACAACCTAATCCCCTGCAGAGCCACACGGCTGACAGGGAGGGCGGCTGAGGCAGCAGAGGTGTTGATGGAGGCCTCTGAAGCTGCCTTGACACAAACTGGAAGAGCGGACAGCAGGGAGACTTTAGACCCTCAGGACGAGCACCGAGAGCTTCGTCACAGCTTCACATAAATTCCTGACTGCCACTCGATACGTGCTCTGCTCTGACCGAGGCCATATAAAGATTTGTCATATTTACTTTATGATTAATCTCTGATGACACCAGGAATATCACATGTTGAATTATGGGGTTTAAAGAAGGATTATCTCATCATTAATGGAACCACACAATCAAACTTAATGGTTGAAAGAAAAGGGATGACATCGCGAGGGCAAAAGATTTATAGTTGAGGGGAATTTATAAAGAGAGAGATCCTCTGTTTTTCAATCTTACGGTCACCAGAGGCTATTTTTTAACAGTGAAGTTGCTTTTTGGCTAAAAAACTGACAAAAATCCTAAAGTAGTGAACATTTGATATCACTGGAAAGTTTTCAGTTATCACAACATTCAGTTCATCCAGGGGATGGGTGTTTGTATTTTATCCTTTTTACAGTGTCTAACTATTCAAACTGGTGTTTATTTACCTTTAGTC